GTCTCACGGAACAAAGCCTTTCCACAGTCTCTCATCCTCCTCTCCCTCTCCTCTAACGCCTCCCACTAAGTAAACTCGCAGAAATCTAGTCCTCTGAAGTCTCGTGGTTGTGTTTCACTCATTTTCACATTTCAAAGTAACTGCCCCCGTGGAGCGTTTGCTAAGTCATTGTACTAGTATCTGACATGCTCTAGAACTCACCCTCACTACGTCCTGTCAGGGAGTGGTCCTTCCAGGGTGTTAGAGGTGGTCCTGGGCTCAGGGAAGTGAAGTCAAGGTCAGAAAGAAGACACAGAACAGGCAGAATGCAAACCTGAACCTGTCTACACACGCTTCACCTTAGGATATGTCAAAACACTAAATTACAGCAAAATTATAGATCTCATTTTGCTGTGTAATTCTAGAGTTAGGAACTTCATTCCATAAAATAGAATGAGCTTTTTCATGAGTTGAGCAAAAGAGGTTCGTTTTATGGTCAGAAAAGGGCTGAGGAAAGGAGAAGCTGGAAACAACAAGCTGATTGTCGTCTCAAAGTCGCTCTCCTGGTAAAAGTGAAAGCAGAGGAGATGTCCATTGTTGGCCCAAACCAGCCTGTTTTGAAATTTTCAATATTCGCTCCTCCCCCCCCCCCCATTTCTCAGAAGTTCAGATAAACAACCTGGTTTCAGCTTGGTGGCAAAAATCTTAGCACGAGTGACTCCATTTTGGTCTGTTGCGTCCTAGTATAGAAATTCATATACAGCCAGAAAAGAATTGAATCCGCAAGGAAAGTAGCACAAAAAATAAAGACATCAGAATTGTGGCTGGAGGCAACTCTGAACAGAAGCAGGCCTCAGAAAGGAGAAGCAACCCTGTCTCAAAAAGACAAAAAAGAAGGGAAGGAAGAAAGAAAACAGGAAGGAGAAACAATAGCAACTTCTGCATGCCTCCCTAGAGATAAACAGATATTTAAGATTATACTATTGATCTGAGCGTGGTGCCATGGTGCCGCATGCCTGCAATCCCAGCACTCCAGGGGCTGAGGCAGGAGGATTGCTGCGAGTTCCAGACCAGCCTGGGCTACAAACTAAGCTCAAGGCCAGCCTGAACTGCATAGCAAGACCCT